TAATTGGATATTCGCATTTGAGTTGAGTACTTATCTAAGTGAAGATGACAGGTTGTATTAAATGAAAAACTATCTTTACGTTGGCTAGCCCCGAAGTCATCTCACTAAGATTTGGGTGGACACGAGCACATCCGCTGTCAAGTGGCTCAAAGAAACCCGAAAGAATTAGCAGAATTTCAAAAAAATAACTGTCATACTTGAGCCACAATGAATTGCATAACAGCAAACTCTAAAAATTTGCAAACCAACATTTAAGATAAAACCAGTAGCAAGCAATATCACCCAGATAACAACAAGCAATGGAAGAATCTCCAATATGTAAAGAGATGAAAAACACCATAACATTATAAGGTGAACGACCAAACATATGACAGCATAGCACAGAGCATACGATTACTAACCCATTCGTTGTTCTGGTAACACAGGCAAATAGCAAATAGTTCAACAGATATGCGTCGACATAAAGGTTCTAAGCACGAGCTTCAAGGAGTCTCCATACAAAGGTAGCAAAATCTGATGGCTCAGACAAATACTATCAAGGTGTGCATAGGGCAGTTTAACGGTAGCGGCGGAGGGAGACGGTCTGGTTGCGCTTCCAGGTGGCTCTCCTTGAGGGCCTGTTCTTGTGGTGGCGGTGGCCCTTGCCACGCAGACCACGGAACTTCTTTCCGGCCGACGTTAGGCCACGAAGCTCACGGTGCTTGTGCACGGGCTTGCAGAGCCAGTTGATCCTTGGGTCATTGCGGACAGCACTGTGAGCAACATCAACAAGGATGACCTCAAAGTACTTGTAGGTAGAGTCCTACAGAACAAGAAACGCACAAGCAGAAAGTTAGTGAATATCAGACTTGAGGATTCCCAGCCATTTATTTCCACACATCATAGCAACTAACAAGTATATACCTCATTCACCCAGTAGGAGTTGAGCACACGAAGACCACCCAGCCTGCGCCCAGCTCTTTCTTCAGCAACAGACCTCTTGTTCCTCTGGAACTTGAGCTGGGTAATACCCTGGTGCTTGGGCTTACCATAGACAATACCCTTGGGCACTGGCCTCTTCCTGCCACCACGCCTGACACGGATACGGTAGACCACATACCCCTGGACACAAGGAACATATGGTAAGCAAAGGGAAACAATTATATTGTGGAGAAAGGAGTGCAGAATAAGATAGCTGCACAAACTGAAGCAACAAAAATTACAAACAAAGACATGCAGCAATTAGTGGACCTAAAGCCATAAGCTATGCAGCAATGCTTAATGGGCAATTAACATTTTACTAAAGCATCCAATACTACCAATTAAACCCTCAATCCAATCTATAAACATAAGGAACTAACTGTGTACATGTCCAATGAACATGCTTCAGCATGCAAGGCTCGCATAGAAACAGGCATCCAACAATGAAAGAAGGCAAGAATTTAGACATAAATGATGCACTTAACTATGTCCGCAGTACATAAGTTTCAGATTACAAACTGGATAGCATGGTCCAAATTACTACTCAGAAACAACCGGGCAATGAACACAAGCGGTTAGAACTTGTAAAATCGTTAGATAACACAAGAGACAACCAGATAATGCCTCGTCGTGTATTTTACAAACATGTGTTGGTGGCATCATGACTGGACTAAGTTCAGATCTGTTCCAAAAACCTAACTGCAGTTTATTGCAGAAAAATGGAAAAGAACTTCCATCAACTAAAACTAAACCTAGCATTGACAAGACAGAAAAGGCGCATTTTCCCCGCACAACGAACCACCAGACGAAGAAAACTACTCGACCTAGGCCAGCAATCACAGAGATACATGTACCCAGCCATGGCATCGCCCAAGGAACACAAGGGAGGATCGGATCTAGGAGGGGAAGCGAACCTGCTTGGCCTTGAAGCCGAGACGGCGAGCCCTGTCGGGGCGGGTGGGCCTGGTGATGCGCACGATGGCCGGCTGCTGCCTGTACTCCCAGCAACGCACGCGCTGCACGAACCTCATCACGTCCGACTGCTTCCTCCTCCATAGCTCCGACACGAACTTGTACGCGCCTGCCACCACGAATCCATCAAAACGAGCGCGCAATAACACGTGCGAGAAGGCAAACGGGCGAGGTTGCGGGAGGAAGAGGAGCTGGGAGACGGCGGGGCTCACCCATGGCTGCGGCTGCGGCTGCGGCTGCGGCGGCAGAGTGCGGAGGCGGCGGGGAGGGGGAGCGTGGAGCCTTAGGGCTTGGGGAGAGAGTGGGTTTTTAACTCCCGAGCAGACCTGGCCAAGTGGGCCGGCACAGCCTGGCTCCTATTAAGCGTGCCTGGCATGGCCCACGGCAGCCCGTTGATAAACGGGCCGTGCCGTGACAACACGCGTGCAGCGGTTCCAGGTCCAGGCCCAGCACATTAGTTAAAGGTGTCGGGCCTATGGCCCGTTTATCCCTTATTAGCCACATGTTTTTGGCATGTCAAAAAAAAAGCCACATGTTTTTGGGCCTATATATAAAATTAATTTTGGAAAAAAATGTCGGGTCGTGCCAGTATGCGGGCCTAGCCTCGCAGCCCTGGCATGGCCCAGGCATGTCGCGTGCGAGGTATGACTCGTTAAAACATGTGTCGGGCGGGGCCTAAGACGTGTTGGGCACGCGAGCTAATGGGCCGGCACCCTAGGCACGATCAAGGTGGCCAAAGCTGCTTCCGGGTGTCCCTACACCCTCATGAACAGTAATTTAAAAAAATAGAACACTAAATCTGAAATTTTGAGACATCTAATATGCTCAAACTTTGTAGGTGCTTGCAAGATTTCATGCAGAAAAAACATTCGAGGAGCTCTGCACAACAAAACGATTTCACTTCTCAAAGTATTGAACGCTAATTTTTTTTTCTCACGTGTAGAGCTCATCGGATAATATTTTTTGACGAAAATTTGAAAGCACCTAAGACATTTGAGCATACGACTCCATGTTGGCAGGAAACCACCCGAAGAAGCAGGAGGGACTAAACTTATCTGGTTTCAATTAGGGAGTAAGATTTGCCGGTTTTCAAGTTGAGGGACCATTTTTATATTTTGGAAAAGGTCAAGGAATGAAATATATATTTCTTTAATGTATAGTATCAATTTTTTTTCTTAAAGAGAATTTAACCATTATATAGCGAACACCAAAAAACAAGTATCGATTGCACTATCTAGCTCTGGTCTTGCTGTCATTTGTTCCTTCTAATAAACCACTTGAATCGGCGCCTCATTTCTGCTGATCAACAAGGGATAGATGCCACCGGTAACAGGGTCCATTGGGGAACAGTTTGTGATCATATAATCATTGTCCCACTCACACCCTATTAAACACGTTTCCTTGGGAAAAGTGAAATATCTGATTCAAGCTTCACTCTGCCATCAACATTTGGTTGTTCAAATGAAGTATGTTGTCAGCTAATAGACCATGCAAATGTGATGTACTACCAGTTATACCTGGTTTCATATCAAATGAACTAGCATATTGTGGCACCACCTAATGTGCACATATTGTAGATCCCAAAATATTCAGTATTCTATTGTTCTTATTAATCAAAATCTCATAAAAAGTCATGACCTAGAGTGCAACTGTTGCCTTCCGACAAAGAGACTGCCATCGTTGTTTCTCCAACGAAAGAATTCTTCGAGTGGATTACCTAGAGTACCGCAATTGGTTGTGCAGCAGAGGCCGGGGGTTATTCTAATTTATGAAGAAACAATTGATATTTACTTATTTTGTTGGGTACTTCTTTCATTTCAAAATATTTGAAGTTTTAGTTTTGTCCAAAATCAAACTTCCTCAGGTTTGACAAGTTCATAGAAAGTTTTACTAATATCCGCAACATCAAATATATATATACTAAGAAATATCACTGTGATGAATCTAATGAGACTAATTTGGTGCAGTAGATGTTAATATATTTTTCTATTAACTTGATTGAACCTATAGATGTTTGACTTAGGACAATCCTAGAGCTTCAAATGTTTTGAATCGAATGGAATATGCTATTGTTCATTTTGTGGGTTTTGTAAATGTTTTGATGTTCTGGAATTTGGATGATTAATGATAAAGCAATTAAGGAATCCATGTGTTTGTGAGTATACACGAATGAAAATCCCTGAGGATTTGGTTTAACCGAAGAGTCATGGCCCCTAAAAATTATGTGAAACAATTGAAGAATTCAGAATGCCCGTCGAGGAATATGAAGACGCGGTGTAGAATTTTGTTTATTAGTTTCATTTTTTTTATTGTAGTCACATCAGACCGTACTATTAAGAGCTAAGATTGAAGTCTTCGTGTCTATACTCAATCGAACCTATTTCTTTTGCGAGTGAAGAATACAGAAATCTCATTCCAGGCGAATTAATTAGCCTCAATGTCATCGGACATCGAAGTTAAAATTTTCATCAACGAGTTGGATGATTTGTTCCGCAAGTCAGTAGAGTGCTCTGAGTTAAAAATCCAATCCTTAGTCACGTGTCGTGCTAAAAATCCAATAGTGCACCTCCGACCAGCTGCCTCCAAGACCTATAAGCTCATTTCGCCTGCTGCCCTTCCACTTTTATCAGCTTCTTTCCTTGAATCTGTAAAATCAATGAGAACTCACGCCACATTACCTCCTACTCCATATTTCATCGGTTTAAGGGCTTAACAGTAAGAGAGATGTATGTATTGTCAACTCAGGAGCTCAACTGGAAACTAGTCCTAGGGAATTCTGTTTTCTTCTTTTCTACTGCAAAGCAAAGGAGACGGATTTCATACCGACGTCACAAACAGAAATAGAATAAGCACAGTACAATACAACAGCTCAAAGGATTTTATTCTTTAAACTCCAACAAAATAGTACAATACACTAGTTACTTTATAGGTTTGGTCAGCTGATAAGATAAATCAACAAGAAAAATACAAACTCCTCGGAGCTCGCTGCGTCGGTCCAACAACAAACCCAACCGAGTACAAGTTTCGCAACTCATGATGCTCACCAAGCTTCCCAACCTTTCTTCCACTCACAATCTGTTGTTCTTCATCAGCTCCACAAATTCACCAAACGCTGCAACGCCAAAAGAGTTAAAACAGTAGAGTCATATCCACAACCGCATTAATAATGGAACTAATAATTTGTCTTCCGAAAAACTGTTTTGCGCGCATGCAGTAGCCAAGAAGTTATACATACCCAAGTCTGAGTCATGGGGCCCTGGGGAGGACTCCGGATGGTACTGGAGAGACATAAGCTTCATCTTGGGGAACACAAGACCAGCACAGCTCTGGTCATTTAGGTTGATGTGTGTTACTTGTACTCCTTCCGGGAGCGATTTAGGGTCCACAGCATAGTTATGGTTCTGCATACCAAATCAAATGTTACAGCAATTCATATGCACTAGTTATTCAAAAACGACAAAAAAAAGTGTCATTCTTGTCAATAAGCTAATGAAACAACACAAAATGGTACCAGCTTATAATCATAACTTACTATCACTGCTGCTTAAACACCAGTACAATTTGTAATGAATAACCAAACTAACCTACGAATCTTCAGAAATATATAGCTTGAAGTTCAAAAAAATGTATAAAACTTGCACAGATGGCCTCATGCTGGCTTTCATAGTCCCTAGACCAAAACCCAAGCAAATAGGTTCAAGCAGGCGGCTTAGACTTACCAAAGTTACGCATACCTGACTATCACTACAATTTGGCAAAATATACTAGTAAACAAGGCAAGTAAACTAACTGAAAAGATAAGCAAAATGGGCGGGGTAAACTGACAATCTATGCTTGTAAACTGACAATGATAGTTTCAACGTTTTGATCAAGAATAATGCCTTAAAGCCAATTACACCCATATATTATACCCACTACAATCAAATCCTTTGAGCTTTGACCATAGATAACTTCAAAAAATATCATGGTTAGTGTAAAAAACGCTCTTATATTATGGGACGGAGGGAGTAAAAAATAACAACAAAAATTAACTGTGCAAACCCTCGTGAAACAGAGAAGGCACAAGTCATAGAATGAAGATCATTACTATGTCAAAAAAATGACAAACATCCAGAAACCAGTCAACTGGATTTTAACTTCACGAATCTAAGCCCAATAAGATTGCTTGTCAGAAATCTTATAAGGCTTTTTTTCCATATAAACTTAGTCTTTCAGCATTCACAAAACTATGGTCTTCACAGTCCATGTACTAGCTTTAATGTCTTACAGTCAATGTAGTAAGGTGCCTACTGCCTAAGATAAAAATCTAAGCCCAAAGATGAGGTAAAGAGCAGAGTTGCTTGGCTATGACATGAAGCTAACTTAGTACACGTTTAAGTTAACTAGGAGACCCACGACACATACTCAGCACTAAGTAACATGACCTACCAGAAAACACGAACTATCAAAGTTATATACTTTCTGACCATCTCAAGAAAAAACTGACAAACCTGTGCACTGATGTCTACACGTCCGGTCCTGTTGTCACGAACTGGATGGTTTCCTCCGTGATGACCAAATTTCATTTTAAACGTCTTTCCACCAAGAGCCTGCCCGATCAATTGATGGCCCATGCAGATACCAAATACTGGAACCTTCCCTACTATTTCTTGTACTGTTTTCACGGCATATGGAACTGCAGCTGGGTCACCAGGGCCATTACTAAAAAGAACACCATCAGGCTTCAAATTAAGTACATCCGAAGCAGGCCAGCTTGCTGGAACAACAGTTATTTTGCATCCATATGATGCCAGGCGTCTCAAAATGTTATGCTTCACTCCAAAATCATACACAACGACCTATATAATTGGGAAAAAATGTAAGTGGAAAGATACAAGTTTTTTCTTGAATACCACTAAAAACATGAGTGATACTGACATGAAAAGTTTCACTTGACTGATTGTCGTTGAACTCCCATCCTGAACCGGTCTTGTCTACCCATTCATATGGAGCATCACATGTAACATCACTTATCAAATCAACACCTGCAGGAAAGCAGCACCAAAGTTTCATGATGTGCAACAAAAATCATCAATAGTAGTATTTAAACATCAAACAGCAGCATGCATACAATGTGTGAAGAAACTCTAACATAATAACAATGCAGAGGAAAATCCCTCGTATCACAAAGCTAATTTCTTCACATCTCAAACAAGTACAGAATGCATGAAATCCAACCAATGAAACACTATCAGCTTCATAACTGTTTAAAGAACTTATTGCAAGATCCAATAATTAAGACTCAATAGGACCAAGATGAAAATAGTAGAAATTAAAAATATTTTTCAGATAACCATAAGTCCATAGCAATAAAAAACAAAGTTTATCTATGAAGAGCTAATCTAGTTGTATATTTTTCTAGAATGGATTTCTTATGTAGAATACTAATGGATAGACATTACTTTAATAACATTGTTATAGCTTATAGGAAGCTTAACATACCAACAATTTTCCAATTTTTGGCCATTTCCAACAATCCCTCGTCTTTGAGAGACTGGTCGGTACTTAGAACACCAATGAGACTGCCATCTTCTCTTAACCTGCGTGTTATTGCACGTGTGTCCACATCATCTGCGGAGTGTTAAAAAAGTCAGCTTCCGTGAATGGAGTAATTTGAATTAGAAGCAAGACTCAATGATGTTATACTTACATATGCCCATAATGTTCCTCTTTCTCAAATATTCATCAAGTGTTTCTGTGCACCTCCAGTTGGAAGTACTAGAAGAAAGAAACAGTAATGTGATTGTGTAAGTGAAAAATATAGTGCCCTTAAACTTTTCATCCTATCCAAAACAAAAAAGTATTACCATATACTTAGGTTCCTTATGATTAAGCCACCAAGGAAGCATTTTATGGATTCTTCGTCACCTACAAGAGAGTCCAAATAATATTCATCGTTAATTATTATAGAGTATTAGATTCTGTTTCTTGGGTAAAGAAACTGCATATACCAGAGTTAACGCCGGTGTTCCCAATATGAGGGTTGGTCATCAAAACAAACTGACCGGCGTAGCTAGGATCAGTCAAAATCTCCTGGTACCTGTGTTCATTTGTCACACATGAAAGAGTCACATATCTGACACGAAAGAAGTTGCAGAAAATTTGAGAGCATACTGAGACAAATCCTAAAGCGATTGGCTAGGAATGGAATTTAGAAATTAGAGCAAGACAGGAAAGATAAATCACTGGGACGTTCATAAGCTGGTATCACTACAAGTAGCACCATCACAATACAGTGGTCATGCTCGGAGGAGTAATAAGTAAATAAATAGTGGTTTGATTTCATAAGCATACTGAAGGGGCAGCTAAACACGGTATCTGAAGAAGTAAGAAAAGAATGGATTTTATTACCCTGTCAATGAGGTATTGAAAACCACCTCGCCTACTTGAGTCCCGGAAGCACCGAAGGATTTAGCATTCCACACGGAGCCGTCCTCGAGAACGAGGCGAGCGTCGCTAAGCTTCCAAGGCCTCTCCACCGCTGGCGCCCCCTGATTCGCTGCCGGGCTGGCGACGGAGCGGCATACCACGGCCTTGGTCGTCCTCACGAGGGCCACTCGGCCATGCTGCCCAAGTCCGCCGATAGAGGGCGGCGCGGGGGAGGTGCGCCGGTGGACGGCGTGGATGGCTGGGCGGGAAGGGAGGGGGCGCATCTGGGGGAGCATGTTGGGGAAGGATGGGAGGGGAGAGGCTGGGCCTGGGGTGAGTAGGGGATGCTTGCGCCGCCGCCGCCGACCTGCTTAGGGTTTTGATATGAGAGGTTTCTTCCTCCTCCGCTTTGGCTCTACTAGTAAAAGTGAGGACGCATATATCGTTTTCATATCTTCTCGACGCGAAAACGGATACGGAAACATCGCGGTACTGCTATCATTTTCGCGTTTTCCCACCCCGATAGAGAAACAGACGTGGACACAATAGTATGCCAAGTTTGACTATACATTCGACCCCTAGAAAAATTAATTTAGATCAGTGGTCGGTCACACACTTTTGACCCAGCCGTACCTCTCGTATCGGCTCTACACGTATGAGTTGACCGGCACCCTAAATATTCAGCTCATGTCCGACGCGAATATAGGAAGACCTAAACACGCCTACCACATCAGACTAATGTGAGGACCCACCGAACACTCATCGTTGCCCAGTGATCTAGTGAGGAGGACGCTCCAGCATGCTGCCCAAAAGAAGCAAATTCAGCTAATAAGCCGGTTGGCGACTTCCAATCCTAATCACTTTCATTTTTCTCCCCTTTGCGCCGCCACCCCCATCCGCTCATAGCTCGGAGCCCGTTGTCCGTCCATAGCCATGGGCCAACAACATAGCATCATCTATGTCATGCTCACCCCGGAGTGCCGGTTGCAGCTCCTAGAGAAGATTCAGGGCCAACATGCCGCTTGGATTGCAGCTGACCTGCCTCCGAACTCTCTGGAGCATGAAGAGGAGGAGGAGGAGCAAGCGTCGGAAAGCGCACGTGGAGGGGGGAGGGAGGAAGTTGAGGCGGATCCAGCACCTCCGGCTACCAGATTCGGCATTGGTGACACACAAGCGGAGTACGGGGTCACCCAAGCAGATAGGAGACGGCGGAGCAGCAAGCCATCCTCAATTCCATCCAGCCGGAATCGAAGATGAAGGCCAACCGTTGCTTCCTCCGCAAGGCGCGGGCGAAGCGTCACCAACTCTTTTGGACATGGAGTCCGATGAGGAGCCAAAGATGCGGGCGGCGGCCAACGATCATGAGGCCTATCCGGCCGACAGTGTCGGCATGGAAGTAGTCTACATCTCCGACGATGAGTAGGCTAGTAGTTTCGAATTTCTAGTATGCAACTTTAGTGTTGTGTGATATTGTATGGATTTTGGGTGTCAAATTGAAGGTATGTGGTTGTAGAGGTTGTATCGGACAAAATAAAGGGTGAGTGGGCCTTCTCCACAAACGCATTCGCAAATGTTTGAGGGACTAGATTAGTTGGGTGAGATTGTAGATGCTCTGACACCAACACCAAGTGTATCTCTCAACGACTCAAAAAAGGTATCTCCCAAAAGTTTGATGCCCTAAAACTGTTTTTACACCAGAAGAGAAGGGTTATGATGATAAAAAGTTATCTATGACAAAATGATTAAAATTTTGCAATATCATAACACACATTTATCGTAGTAGTTTGAGCGGTGAGGTAAGGAACAGTGTAGTTGCACGCAGCCATTGCCTTATCAAAAAAGCTAGGGTTTCTCCGCCTCCCGTCGATGCCGCCAGCGGTCCGCCTCATCTCCGGTGGTCTTAGGGCCATGGGGACGGAGTGGATCCGGGCCTTTGCCGATGGGAGAGCTTCGTTTTTAGATCTTTCTTTGAGTTTTGTTAGGGTTTGTGGCCTACTCACAAAGGCGAGACGACGGCAGTTTCCTGAAAATGGAATAAGGTTCTCTTATCCTAGCCCCCGTTTCGGTGGTGCGTTTGGCGTCGTCGGTGGACGTGTGAAGGTGTGTCTCCGGAGATCTGCCTTTGGTGGATTTGCTCGGATTTAGTCGTTGTTCGTCATGTTCATGTGTCTTCAGGTTGGATCCTTCTAATCTACACTACTCTTCATCGGCCGTGGTTGCTGTTCTGGTGCGTTGGTCCTATGTGGCTTTAGCACGGTAACTTCTCGACTCTCTACTACATGTCTACAACAAGTTTTGCCAGGCTCTGGTGAGGGAGGGCGATGACAACGGTGCGCCTTCAGCTTGCTTCGGTGCTTATAGTCATCGCTAGGTGGTCTACGCATCTGGATGTATTATTATTATTATTTCTAGCGCTCGTTATACTATCATAATTGAAGATGAATAGATCAGAAGTTTTCTCGTAAAATTCATAACACACATAAAAAATATATCAAAATTCAAGTTCAAATACTCCGGAAAAAAAGTAAAGTTCAAGTCCACATAATTCAAGTTCAAGTTCGAATTTAAGTATAAAATTGGAAGCATTGTGCATCAGAAACACAAACAAAAGCGCATAGAACATTAATGCATAGAGCTATCAGATGTCATGGTCGTAATTGCCATTACTAGTGCTTGCATATCTTCATTATTTGAATTCTGGCACCATTGCCACCCTCAATCCTCATATGTCACTTTCCTCTTCCCATGAATCATCCAAAGCCTCAAACCCTGCCATGAAGCCTCCCATAAACCTGCACTAGTGGCATGATGTAAAATTTTGGGCATGATGTAAAAGAATGCCACCGTATGCCTATAGGGCAGTTGTTGGAGGCGTATATTTGCCCCAAAAATTCACAATTTTTTTTGGCACAATGGCTATTTTTGGGTGGTTGTTGAAGATGCTCTGAGAGCAATGTCGGTAGTCACCATAATGTATATGGAGCGCGTTCCATATGCATTTGAAGGATGCCAGGCATTGTGCTAACTCATGGCCGCCATATCTCAACCTCCGTTATTTATTTATTCCGTTTTCTTGCTCATACACTTGATTCTCTCCAAATTTAAATGTTTAACGCACTAATCAAACATATGCATAATTTTTAAGAAGTTGCATGAACAAAAGCATCTAACCAACGGCATTTAAATATTTGGAGCATACGTGCTTTCATCTCTTCCCGACGTCGTCGGCTCTCTTTCATGGCATCCCATCTTGTCCTCTTTTCTTGATTTCTCTTCTCGGCATACTCGTTTCTTTTCATCATCAAATCATTGATCTTTTTTTATCGCCTCCATCTCTTCTTCTCTCTTGAGCTTCACCTTTCCTCTCTTCCTCCCATCAGGCTGACCCATGCTAGAGGCCGGAGTGGGACTTCTATGAACTTTTTTCCTTTCCTCTCTGTCATCATCATCATCTTCACCATCATCCATCTCCCATCTCGTCCTCTTTTCTTGGTTCTTCCTATCCTCCATCTTCACCGTCGTCCATTATCTTCGCTCGCTTTTATCCAGAAAAGAAGACTTACAAAGTAAGATGCATGATTGGAAACTTTCTACCAAAACCAGGTGAAAGCGTAGTTAAAACCTATCTAAGGTATCACTCTCTTCTTCATCAATGCCCTCGTCACAATTACCCACCATGGATGATATTGCATTTCTTTTATGGAGGGTTGAACATCTGGAGGGGCATTTATGGACTACAGTGTTACTCGAGCTCGGTGTTGCTAGAAAAAATCGATTTAATCAAGAATCTTGGGATTTAGGTAAAGGGGGTAACGGAGGAGTAGAGTCTGATTATGGCTGTGTTAAAACCTGCTTTGAATCTGGCGAAATAGATTATATGAGCGGATATTTTTATGTGGACTCTGACTTTGTTTTGTAGACCATAAAATATTTTTCTAAGCATTTACAAGTTCCCAATGAAAATTGGGAGCACTACACCAAAGAAAGCCAAGGAGGCGAGGTTTATTGAAACAATTGCCGATGGCATGGTTTGATAGGTTCAGGTGGGTTGTTTGAAATATGGGGTATGGTCAATATAATGGTGATCAAATGGTGTTCTATAGACACACTGATAAGATGACCATTCTTGCGGTGTATGTTGATGATATTATCATCACTGAAGTTGATAATGAGGAAATAAATAGATTGAAGGGGTGTATGAGCAAGGAGTTTGCAGCAAAGGATTTGCGCTATCTAAAATACTTATCATAGAAGTGACCCGGAGAGAGAAGGGAATATATATGTGCCAACGAAAACACACCTTGAATCTCTTGAGTGGTATGAGCATGATGAGATGTCATGCAACCCCTAATCAAATTGAACAAAATCATCAAGTTACAACACAATCAGGTGAGCTAGTGCATAAAGAAGGTTATCATAAACTGGTTGGGAGGTTATTATACTTGTGTCACACCAGGCCTTACATCACATATACCATGTGTGTGTGGTGAGTAGATACAAGCATGAACCAAGGAGTGGGGCATCTTGATACAACACAGAATTTCAAGATTCTTGAAGGGCATTCCAAGCAAAGGGTTGTGGTTTGCGAAGAGTGGACATCTTAAGGTGGATGACAATAGTGATTCTGATTTGGCCAGTTGTCAAGATGATAGAATATCAACTTCAGGCTATTATGTGATCGTGGGAGGAAATTTGGTGTCATGGGGAAGCAAGAAAAAGACCGTTGTGTCTAGATCAACAGAGGAAGCTAAGATTAGAGCATTATCTCAAGGGTTGAGTGAGATGCTTTGGGTGAAGAATCGACTGAGCGAGTTGAAACTTCTGAGGAAGAGACCCTTGAGAGTGTGGTGCGACAATCAGTCTGCTATAAGCATTGTCAATAACCCAGCTCAACATGACATGACAAAACATGTAGAAATTGATCGCTTTTTTAGTAATAAGAAACTTAATATTGTGATCATCAGGCTTACTCATGTCAGCTCTAGACAGCAGGTTGCAGACTGCTTGACAAAGGGCTGTAACTTGCATGTGACAAGATGGAATTGATCTATATCTACCATCCATCTTGTCATCTTGAGAGGAAGTGTTAAACCGGTATGGACCCTGCCCATCTGTCTTAGGCCCATAGGGCCCAACCCATGTGCTGACCTAGAAGAGGTGGAGCTGGTCGTTCTCTCCTCCCAGGCACAGCAACACCACACACACACACACAACACACACGGACACGGTACGCATCTCTCACGGACAACATGGAACCATTTCTCTAAATTCTTGAACAGTCCTTGCATGAAGGCAACACTAGAAGCTCCGTTTTGATTAGGCAGCCTGCATAAACAGAGGAGCAAATGAATAGTTTTGACTTGGTAACAACCTGGTCTCAATAATGGACCGACCGCAGGTTTCAAAAAAAGAAAGAAAGAAAAGGACGAATTACTTTGTAAAGGAGTCTCAGCAAAACATAAGATAACAGCAAAGTTGGCTTCACCTTATCTGAAGAACAAATGAAGGTCAAGCCAAGACCCATCACCCAGAAATCATGACAATTCATAAATCACAAGAAATAGTTTATGTCATATTCCTCAGTTATTGCTCTCCCTGATATTTTCCTCTGCAAGGTGGGCAGTTGAGATGTCATTATTAGACAGAAATGGAGGGTTGCTGAATTATTGATCTAACACTATGAAACATAGATAGTTACTATTAATCTGTCCAATACAAGGCCTCGCTGCTCTCATATCTTAAGAAGTTATATTCGATATAACTTGGATGTGAGGTTAAATACGTCACGGGAGCACAGGATAACTAACCTGTATCTGTGTGGTGATGTGTCCAGCGCCCTAATTTAAATTGCATGACATTATTAATAAAACAACTACAATATCGCAGAAAATATAACTGCAGAAGTCCGAGAAAGAAATAATGTGTACCTGAAATTGCTTCACTGCCCAAGATACATCACTCCAGGTTTTTGTTTCTATGTCCTCCCATAGTAAAGGTGCCTGAACTGTCTCCACATGCTGGATAAGCCTTAAGCTACCTGTCATATGATAAATTGGAGTGAGTGAACTGCAGATTATGCTAAAAAGGGGATCACAATGTCTCAGCCGGGGCTCGCTCCTGATTTGAAGAAGACTTCTTACTTGTAACAAAGGCTTCTTCCCAAAGTTCACGCTTGGACCATGATGGTGAGACCTCATGTACTGGGATCCCAAGATCATGGCATTCCCTATTCCAAAGAAATAAACTTGTGTTAAAAGAATTCAGCATTTGACATTATGTGCAGCACAAAAAATCTAAAAAAGAATTCAAGAATCAACCGTTCCTAATGATGAACCTTTTAAAAACATTTTTGGGCAAACTTAAACCCTACAAAGGAGGGCTCCCCCGTATATTAATATAGCTCACATAACAATTCAGGGGTAAGACTGGCCCTACAGAAACAACCCTGACAATAAGGAAAATTACATAGCGCGCCAAGGTAAGTGTGGTAACTAGTCTGTAAACTTGTGAGATCAAGGCAAGGGCACTGTCAAACAGGTCAGTTTAGTTAGGAAGATAAAGTTATGGTTTGTTAAGGAAGTTGGGGATTCTATTCTTAGGAGTCTTCCATATAGAAGGGGCCATTACGCATCATGATACCGAGAAAAACCCATGACAGGTACCTCAAAGTCGACACCAGTTAATGTTTGTTAGTCTGAATTTTCCTCCACTATCTGGCCATTTATTCAAAGAGCATAGAATTTAGAGCAAACAGAGAATATTTACTCAATGACTATCTGGCGCATAATTCCAGGGAGAACTCCATCGCTTAGTGGAGCTGTTTGTACTTCAAACTTATTTGCCATTGTTTGAACAGACAAGGGTTCATTTGACTGACGTTCCTCCTACAGAAATGTTGAGATTTTAAAATAAAAACACACATCATCGGAATAACATAACTATTATCCTGAAAAGGTAGAGTAAATAATTCGGAGTGCGAATACGAGTGCTATGTTCATAGAGTGCAGGAAGACAAGCAAGGAAACTACCAATAAAAAGATGAGAGTAAAATTAGTAATAACACAGAGACCTATAAAGATCTTTGGTCCTTATTTTTACCATCTTAAATTTAACGCAAAGGAAGATGCCAAGATTCATCCTTTTAGCCTGACTCCAGCATCACAATTTATATTATGGCGACATGAAAACCACTACAGACTAGTGGACTGTCACACAGATATGAGTGAACCTTGTACCAGTTAGAACCGCTCCTAAGGATATTTGAGAGATTGCCTTTCACTTGTGCATTGCAACTACAGATGAAATTGCGTTCCAATTTTAGGTGGGTTGTTTAGTTCCACTTTAACTTGTTTGCACTGGGAGAAATCTGAATCCTTGCCGTTGCCGTTGAAGCGAAAATGTCTCTAACCTTCCGGCAGACGACGAAGAAGTTTGTAACACTGCCTTCAAGAAGACGATCCCCATCGTTGGTCAGCAAGAGCTCCGTGGCTCCAGGAGGCCTCATCTTCTCCATACTCTTCCTCATCCTGGCCCAAGGAGCGTACTTGGCGGCGGCGGCCTCCCTTCCGCTCCCGGCCACTGCAAGCCTCGCCCCGGCGTCCCCGAAGACCGGAGGCACGTACGCACCCAAGTGGACGCAAACCTCCAAACCATCCGCCGCCCCACCAGCTCGAACCAACGCCGTGAGCGCCATATCTTCCCCCGAGCAGCACTCCCCAAGCGCCAGCATCCGGCTCCGCATCTCGTGGACGCCGACCCGCACGGATTGGTTAACGAGAGGCTCGATGGGCGCTGTGGAGAGAGTACCCGGCGGCGGGGCAGGGAGGCCGAGGAGGTGGGGGCGGGATTGGGCGAGGAGGCGCGCGGAGTCGGCGAGGCGGAGGAGGTGGCGTGGCCACCAGAGGATGAGGCCGGTGGAGGATGCGCGCGCGGTAGTGTAGGCTCCCGGAGTGGACTCGAGGAAAGCAGCCGCGGAAGGAGGAGAGTGCGGGGAGACGGCGCCGTTGGAAACCAGGACGGCCGGCGGCGACATGGCTTTTGCTGAGGAAATTGCTCGTTTTTTTTTTTGAGCGGAGGAAATTGACACAGACGGCGTTGGTGATGGGCTGCCCCAAATTGTACAGATGGTTTCTGTTGGCCTCTGGTTTACGATCTTCATGGGCCTAGAGGATTCGTACAGGAGGGGATCATCCAGCCCAAGTGAACGAGTTGTTGTTGCTGCTCCAATCCAATTGGAGTCGATTCTAAAAGAACAATTGGAGTCATTTTGGTGATTTTTCTAAAAAAAACACTTTGGTGATATTTCATTTTACAAAGTTTTTTTGTTTCTCACAAAAAAAATCTTACAAAGTTTTTTTTATATAGAACTAGGTAGTTGTCCATGTGTTGTAAGTTGTAACGGACACACTACTCCCTCCGTTCACGAATATAAGATATTTTGGATATTTTAATATGGACTACATACTGAGTCAAATGATCGTTGTCGGCGTGTAAGCACGGCCTAGGCATAACAACAAACCAGATATTTGGTGTCTTCCCTCCTCCCAAGAAAAGTCTCCTTTCTCCTCCTGCCGGCGCTGGCGCCGATTCGCCCCACCTCCGATGGCCTTTGGGCCATGGACTTGCAGAGGATCTCAGCCCCCCGCCGACGGGAGGACCCGTTCTCATTTTTGTTAGGTTAAGCGTCTTGACTGGGGTTGTGTGGCGGCGGCGATGTCCCTCAGTAGAAATAATGTCTCCCACGTCCTATCCAAGCCCCAATGGTGCGAATAGTGTCGTCGGAGGATTGTGGAGGTGTGTCTCCGTCGGATCTCACGGGATTCGGTTGGTGCTGGTCTTCGGTGGAACTATTTGGATCCAGTTCATCTTCGTTAGTGTGATTACATGTTTGATATTTTCGATCTACAACTCCCTTTGTAGGATCGAAAGTATGTCTAGAGGGGGGGGGGTGATTAGACTACTTGACCAAAAAAATCTAGCATTTTCCCAATTTTCAGTCTTGACAGATTTTAACAACTTAGCACAAGTCAAGTAATCAACCTACACATGCAATTCTAAGAGTATAGCAGCGGAATATAAAACAATTGCATATGAAGGTAAAGGGAGGAGTTTGGAGGGAGCAAATGCAATATAGACACGGAGATTTTTGGCATGGTTCCGATAGGTGGTGCTATCGTACATCCACGTTGATGGAGACTTCAACCCACGAAGGGTAATGGTTGCGCGAGTCCACGGAGGGCTCCACCCACGAAGGGTCCCCGAAGAAGCAACCTTGTCTATCCCACCATGGCCATCGCCCACGAAGGACTTACCTCACTAGGGTAGATCTTCACGAAGTAGGCGATCTCCTTGCCCGTACAAACCCCTTGGTTCAACTCCACAGTCTTGACGGAGACTCCCAAGTGACACCTAACCAATCTAGGAGACACCACTCTCCAAAAGGTAATAGATGGTGTGTTGATGATGAACTCCTTGCTCTTGTGCTTCAAATGATAGTCTCCCCAACACGCAGCTCTCTCTCATAGGATTGGATTTGATGGAAAGAGGGTTTGAGTGGAAAGCAACTTGGGGAAGGCTAGAGATCAAGATTTATGTGGTTGGAATGGAATATCTTAACCTCAACACAAGTGTAGGTGGTTCTCTCTCAGAAAATATATGTTGGAAGTGTAGGCATGTTCTGATGGCTCTCTCCATGAATGAAGATTGGGTGGAGGGGTATATATAGCCTCCACACAAAATCTAACCATTACACACAAATCACCAAGCTTGGTGGGACCGAATCATGAAACTCAGTCATACCGATTTAGTTCAAAATGTGAAATTTTTGGTGGGACCGATTCCATTAGGGTTAGGGCATAACGTAATCTCGGTGAGACCGATTACACAAACTTGATGGGACCGATTTTTATAATAGGCAAATAGAGAGTTAGTCAGGCAAACTCGGTGGGACCGATTCGCTCATCTCGGTTAGACTGAAACGTTACGAAGGGGAAACAGAGAGTTTGCATTGTGAACTCGGTGGGACCGATCGCTCATCTCGGTTAGACCGAAACGTTATGAAGGAAAACAGAGAGTTTGCAATCCCATCTCGGTGAGACCGAGATCCCTATCGGTGAGACCGAAATGACTAGGGTTTGGCAGTGGCTATGTCAAATGAACTCGGTGGCGCCGGGTAGGAAATTTCGGTGGGTCCGAGTTTGACTTTTGGTTTGTGACATATGTGGATATGAGAAAGTAGTTGAGGGCTTTGGAGCATATCACTAAGCATTTCGAGCAAGTAACTCATTAAGCAACACCTCATCCCCTTTTAATAGTATTGGCTTTTCCTATGGACTCAATGTGATCTTGGACCACTAAAAGTAAAATGTAGAGTCTTGAGCTTGAGCCAACATGTGTTCTTAGTATTTTGAGGGGTCCACTTTCTGATCCATGCCATGCCAAACATTGAGATTTCCTGAAATATTTATCTTGAAATAGTATTAGCTCAATGGGCTATATGTTGTTAGGAATTACCAAAACCACCCAGGGATAGTTGCACTTTCAATCTCCCCCTTTTTGGTAATTGATGACAACATATAGATCAAAGCTTCAACAGATGATATTAATATTGAAAAACATCGTCGCTTTGAGAAGTATGTGATAAGCAAGAGCTCCCCCTAAATTTGTGCATTATTTAAAATTTGCTTTTGAATGCAAATGCACAATCGATTAGGATCATGGGTTACTCTTCCATGTCACATACATCTTGGTGGAGCGTTCAAAATGATAGAAATTAAAAGCATGCACCCATCACCAAGCAAGTGAATGATCATATATGGATATAAAAGATAGTATCATCTAAACAAGCATTAAGGTCTATACATATTTCTCTCCCTTTGGCAACAAGTTACCAAAAAGTTCAAATATGCATAGTTCTATGTGTCTCTCGGGCTTGGTCTTCGGGAGGTGGTGTAGAGAGAACTCCAAGGATGAAGGCATCCGTTGATGTAGTTGGAGCTGGTGGAGTGGCTGGTGGAGGTGGCACTGGAGCTGTAGCTACTGGTGCTGATGTTGTAGCTTTGGAATCTGTCACTGGCACGGCAGCAGACCTTTAACTCCTTGGCACTCGCTGAAATGCATCTGTGGTTGCCTTGCCTCTCTTCTCTTCTGCTTCCTCCTGAAGCTGCTCAACGGCAGTCTGTATCTAAGTTACTTTGAGATCAAGATCATAAAACTTAGTTTCTACGATCCGCTCCAAGCTCTCCTGGTTTTGAGTCAGGGTGGCCAAGCCCTTCTCAATCCTCGGTGTAGACTGGATCAGATATGCAAGTTGATCTTGCTTGCTCTTCAAGAAAACCTGAGATGCCTCTTCAACACTTGGCATCTTAGCAGCTTTCTCAGCCTTTGCTTTGGCTCTCTTCTCCTGTGCTTGAACTGATGATGGTTCCTCCTCATTCATCACAACAGTGTTGTCTTCAAATTTAGGATACATGGGTAGATGCTCCTTATCCAACAGATATGTTCATGTGCCCATCTTGGAGTTGATGAGCTTCTGAATGTGTGGAGCATACCCACAACTTCTCTTCTGGTCAGCAGCAGTCCTCTTAATTGTCTCTACAATCAGACTCATGACCTTGAACTTCTGAGGGACATCAAAAAGATGTAGCAGGTTGATAGAGTGCCCTATGATCATATTGTGATCTCCTAACTTGGGTAGCAGAGTGTGCCTTAGGATCTAGTCGATAGTAGGTAGACCAGACAACAAGAAATGTACAAATCCAAGCTTGTGAGTCTCCAAAGCTTTATCTGGGATCTCCTTGTACATGTTTGCCATGGAGTTGTGGTCTTTCTTCTTCTTGGCATACACATCCAAGTCATCCTCATGTTCTTCTAGGGCATTGACCAGCTTGGCCCATTCTTCAACAGTGGATTGGTACCTAGTACCTTCAGACATCCATATGATCTTCTCATCTGGGTAAAAGTGAGCAGTGGAGTAAAACTGCATGATCAACTCATAATTCCATTTTTTGAGCTTCTGTCCAACAAACTCATCTACTCCACATGCTTTGAAGTTGTCATAAACTCCTGGAAAGTGATCTTCATTCTCCTGAATGAATTCCTAATCGACCCATTTCATGTCACTCACAATGGGCTTCTTGTCAAGCAGGATAGTTTCATAAAAGTCTTGCTATTCCTTTATGTGAAACCGGTAGTCAACTGCAGTCCTTCTCCTCACAGCATAAGGATCAGACTTTCTCCACAATCTCAGTCCAGCATCTTTTCTGATGTGCATGTCTCCAGCTACTGGATGAGTATCATTGTGGTCTGGAATCTTGGGCTTCAATTTTCTCAAAATACGAGACTCATCATCTTCTTCTTCAGCTTCAGGCACCGGGGCCTTGTTCTTTTCTTCAGTAGGTATACTCTGGTGTTCCTCTTGGGCTTAGGAGGCTTCTGATCTTGAGCTTTGGGGGCTGTCTTGGGCTTTGATGTTGCAGCCCCTGACTTTATAGCATCTCCCATAAGCTTCTGAGCTTTGGGTGCTGGAGCATCCTCTTCTTCTTCTTCATCTCCAGAGGGATCTTTCATCATGGAGGGCTTGCCAATGACTCTGGCAATGGTCTTCTTGACTCTTTCCTTTCTCTTCTTTCCCTCTCCAGCTTCTTTGGGTTCAAGAGTGAACTCCATTGTTTCTTGAGTAGAGGCTCTGGCCTTAGACGTAAGAATTCTTTTTGCTGGAGCCTTCTTATTCATTCCTAGCTTAACTGTAGCAGCTGTGCTATACTCCTTTTTCAGCACCTTCTTCTTGGAGCTTACTTCCTCCTCAGTGGCAACATAATCCTCATCCTCAGATTATGAGGTTCTCTTCTTCCTAGATCTGGTGGCTGCCTTTGGCAAGTTGTTGGGAGTGCTCCTGCTGCCATCATCAGAAGTGCTCGAGGGATCTGAACCCTCACTCAGCTGCACATGTTCCTCAGGCCTGTTCTGACTGTCACTCTGACCAGACATCTCTGCAAACTCACTGACAGCAGACCCCGTGAATAGATGTAGAAG